TGCTCGTATCTCAATCGAGACAACGATTCTCCTTGTCGGCGTCAATTTTCTTAAGCTCGACGAAGCCAAGCTTGAACAATTACAGGTGGATTTTTGAGAAAAATGAAAAACAACCACCTTTTCTCAATTCAGTGTTACCCTGAGCTCTCACAATTCATTGAGAAGCCCTCTTTTTTCGCCATCAATCAATCGCTTCTCGATATCTTCAAACCACTCGCTCTTCTATATTTGACTTTCATTATTACTGCAACTTTATGTAAGTTTTTTGTTAAATTAAGCTAAAATTAAAAACTTGATTTCAGTTCTTTTAATGCCTACATATTACTATTTATATTTTTCAAAAGTTCATCGTCTTCGAATGAGTGCGTACACGTGGAAATTGCACAAGAAATGGACGAGAAATTTGAACTTTCAGGTAGCGCGAATCCCTCCGAGACTGTAATCCAGATTTAAAGTTAATCTGGATTTGTAAACCAAAGCCAGCTCTCAAAGCTGAACAAGTTAATCCGGTTGAAAAGCTTCAAAAGCTTCAAATTTTGATCTAAACTGGTCTAAAGTGGTTGGATTCGTTTTGGTTGAGATAAAACAGATCCAATAGACAATCATAGATCTAATCTTTGCATCGGTGAATTGACATGAGTGTAACCTTTACGATTACCACATCGACTATTAGGGTTACGGTAAGATTTATTGGGGTTACGGTAGTACCCGGTTCAGGCAATGGGCAACGGTTTGATTATCGATATCAGTTACTATTCACAGATCTACACATGGGTTAAACACAGATCTTTTAAAGAATATCCCGGTAACCGGGAGATTCTTTAAAAGGCCTGAGCCTACGCTAGTTTCTCACTAGTTTCTTTTCTTATTCTTTTTCTTACAATTATTGTTGTTGGGGAGAATGAAATGGCGCCGAAAATCAAAAAAATAATTCTAAAACTTCTAGCAGACTTTGTTAGCTGATAGGCGTTTGATATGAGCAGAAAGATTAACGAATTCTCTTTACTACTTAACTAAGGTTAACTAAAGTTAACTAAGGTTGCAAAATGACATTTAAAAGGACAAGATTAGGTGAATTCTGGTCTAACTTTTGGCCTGAGCCTACGCTAGTTTCTCACTTGGCTTCTGGCTTACAAATCCTAGGCATCCATTGGTTCAAGTTCCTAAAAATTTTGGACTAAACTCCGGTTTGTTCCGGAAAAATCGATTTACCAGTGAATCGATTTGACCATCTTGACCAGTGAACCAGTAACTAAGGTTAACTAAAGTTACAAAATGACATTTAAAAGAGAACTCAAACAACGCCTCAGCTTAACAAAACGACAATTTTTCCACAAAATCTATAAACCGTGATCTAAAGATAACGGTTGGAGGGTTGTTCTGGAAAATTTGAAAACTTATGTAATTGAGTGTGCTCTATCTTTTTTATTGAGACACCAAAGGAGGTTTATGTAGAAGAAATTGTTCAAACGATGAGTCAAACTCTGCCATTTTGACTTGCTGTTTTTGAGAGTCGATAAACTCGACGAAAAAAAAGCTTTGTGGAATCTCTTGAAAGTGATTTTGTAGAGACAAAATGGATCTTTTTGATGAAACAAAACTTATATTTAAAGAAGGCTTTATGCATTGAAAAAGTTTCTTTAAAGTTCGGTGTCATTTCATTCTCCCCAACCCAATAGCTAAACTATCACCATTTTTTTTGTTTCAAATCTATTCAAAGACTTGTCCAGCTCAAATCTTTGTGCATTTTTAGCTTACTGCTTATGTGACAATGTTTGTCGCTCCAATAACTTGGTTTGTATATGTTTTTTTGGAAGAAAACGTTTATCTTGCTGGTGAGAAACTTTAAAGAGATTTGAAAAAAAAAGCTGTATTTTCAGAATACACAATTTGGGTGATGTTGATTGGAACATTTCATGGAACAGCCTCAACAATCATCTTATTGACATGCTATGATTGTTATCGTCTTTTTATCATTTGCACTATTCAAAAAGGTAAGAGAAAGTTCAAATTGGAAAGGAAAGTTGTGAAAATTGCAGAAGAATTCATAAGCTTCTTTAAATCTTTGATATTTCTAAGTTTTAAAGTATTTTTTCTATTCTTAAATCAGTCTCTTTTTAGTTTTCGGCTTACAAAATGATTCATCGAAATCCCCTGAGACGTCAATGATAATCCGTTCAAGAATCTCTTTACAAAGGCGTAGTGCATTTTGAGTTGACAAAATAAATATCTAAAAATTCTGTATGAATAATAATAATGTATGAAAATACTTGTGAAGTTTTAAAATTTAATTCTAATATAAGAAACAGTTCGCACATAGCAATAACAGATTTCTGTTTTTTTTTATTCATCGGTAATTAATCGGTATTCATCTACAGTACTGAACAATGAAATATCATATTTGAAAAACGATCGTCACTTTCGCGCGTTTGTAACTCCTTTGTCTTTACCGTATTTCTAAATATTAATATTACCATTGTGTAGCCATTGAAAAGAGCTTTCAAAAAATGTATAACACTAATAGTTTAAACTCAAAGACAAGGGAGTTATAGACGCGCAAAAGTGACGATCTTTTTTCAAATATGATATTTCATTGTCCAGTACTGTATGTGGTAGAGGAAAGGGGAACTTGGTAATTTGGTAATTTGTACTGAAAACAAAGCAAAAAAAATTGAATTATGAAAGTACACTACGAGCAACTACGAGTGATCCTCTTTACACGTCGAGTAAATTGAATATCTTTAGATTTGAAGAGAATTTGCCACCAAATCATTTCAACAGTTGAATATCTTCAAAAGGAGTCGTATATAAGACGAAGCTCGTGATTTTTTAGGCGTCAATTTTTTGCAATAATTTTTAGGCCAAAAGTACGGTAATTTTTCCCAAGTGTGCGTTTTAAAAAACGTATTACTTGCGAGGAAACACACTCTAGTATTCCCCCAAACGGGGGCAGTTTTGGGCGGTCAAGGAAGGACGCAGGCTTAGGCTCCGAAATGGAGCAGGTTCAGGCTCCGAAATGGAGCAGGCTCAGGCTCCGAAATGGTGCGGGCTCAAGCTCCGAAAGGGAGCAGGCCCAGGCTCCGAAATGGTGCGGGTTCAGGCTCCGAAACTGAGCAGGCTCAGGTTCCGAAATGGTGCAGGCTCGGGCTCCGAAACGGAGCAGGCTCAGGCTCCGAAAGGGAGCAGACCCAGGCTCCGAAATGGTGCGGGTTCAGGCTCCGAAATGGAGCAGGTCAGGCTACGAAATGGAGCAGGCTCAGGCTCCGAAACTGAGCAGGCTCAGGCTCCGAAATGGTGCAGGCTCGGGGTCCGAAACGGAGCAGGCTCAGGCTCCGAAAGGGAGCAGACCCAGGCTCCGAAATGGTGCGGGTTCAGGCTCCGAAATGGAGCAGGTCAGGCTACGAAATGGAGCAGGCTCAGGCTCCGAAATGGTGCGGGCTCAGGCTCCGAAATGGAGCAGGCAATAGTCCACGCGTGTCACAGTGGTGGGATAGCTTTCGGAGGTTACGGAACGGTTCCGCCCGACGGTACCCCGCTCCTGCAAACCCCGAGATTTTGGAGAAAGTTGGATCAAAGATTCAGATCAAAGAGCTCATCAAGAATGATTCTGAAAAAGAAAATGTCACATAAACACAATCATCAAAATTTTGCACGAGGAAACTACTCAAAACATTCAAGTTTACCAACTGTGAACGCCTAAGATCAAATCAAAGCGAAACCTCAGCAAAACACTTTCTTCTAACTGTCTTGCACAAGAATTGCCTGTGAGCGAAAGCGAGAGATGCTATTAATGAAACTTTATGTGGACTAAACTTTAACTACTTTAATAATATAAATCTGTAAAAGATTGAAGATTTAAAACTGACTATAGCGATTTTTAATGCTGTCTATTAAGCGACTCATAATGAATGCGCTTGCTGTACCCAAAGCTTTACTTTCTTCAATTTTTCCTGTTTATTTTCATTATCATATATTTAAATTTAGAAAGTTTATTAAAAATTAAAAGAATTGGAATTTGGGGCACATTTGGAGGGCCGGGGTGCAAGCGGGTTGGGTCTCCTTCTGAAAATGAATGATTTTTGAAAAACTGTACAATTAAAAGATATTCTAGATACTCTAAATGTAAATTGATTGTTGTAAATTGATTAAATGTACATTTTTCAAATAGCTTTTACTTACAATGACAGCCTCGTTGAGTCCGCAGTTGAAGGCGCCCGAGTTGAAATCACAATAGGTGGAATAGATTTGCGCTTGGCAAGTGATCATGTCATTTGTGGCTCTGAAAATTTGAAATTCTTTGGCAAAGTAAAGTAAAGGAGTTTACTAAACTTAAAAAGTTTTAAACGAGTTAACGTATTGGGGAAGAAGAAGAAGGGGAAGGAGAAGAAGAAGAGGAAGAAGAAGAAGAAGAAGAGGAGGAAGAAGAAGAAGAGGAAGAAGAAGAAGAAGAAGAAGAAGAAGAGGAAGAAGAGGAAGAAGAGGAAAAAGAAGAAGAGGAGGAAGAAGAGGAGGAAGAAGAAGAAGAAGAGGAAGAATTGAAGAACGTATTGAAGAGGCTTAACTCTAAATATAAAGTCTAAGCCTCATTTCTCACTCACAGTATACCAAAATGATGCATTTTAGCCGAGAAACTGATTTCTAATAGATCTGTCGAGGCCTAAGCCTTACACTTTACATTTAGGCGTAGGCTTCTTCAATACGTTCTTCAATTCTTCTTCTTCTTCCTCTTCTTTCTTCCTCCTCTTCTTCTTCTTCTTCTTTTTCTTCTTCAATACGTTAACTCGTTTAAAACTTTTTAAGATCTAGTATAATTTTGATTTTAATATTCTGGTAAAGCGAAAATCAGACCAATATTTTTAGGTGGTAACTGGGCCGAACTACAAGAAAAGGAAAGGTTTTTTGAAGCAATCTTTAAAGAGCTACAGATTACTGGATACAAATTACCATAGTTTACTACAGATTATTGTATTGCGTGTACTGTATTTCTACTTCTAAACTTACACGCATGGATCGGTTCCTTGAGCGATCTCGTTTTGCATCATCGTGCTGCAAGCGGAGAGCGCGTCGTCACGGTGCTCACGGCAAGCCGCCATACAGTAGTAATCTTGGAGGAGAACTGAAAAAGAAGGATTTAAAAATCTTTACAAGCTTATCAATAAATTCACGTGTCTAATACAATTCATAAACGATTTGCCAATAGTTAAGACCATGAGTTAATCAATTTTTTTGAAAACTTCAAGTTTAACCACCTTGATATCCCTCTCCACATTGATACTTGGTGGCAATCTTGTCGAGGAACCAACGGGGAGACTCAGTCGAGTCAGCACCCATCGTCAAGAATGTATCCTGGGAGAGACACGGGAATTTCGCGATACAGTTCACCAAATTGTTTCCGATTCTGAAATATTAAAGAATTAGATGATTTCGTTTCGATGAATCAACTACACTACTGGACCATGAAATATCATATTTGAAAAAAGATCGTCACTTTCGCGCGTCTGTAACTCTCTTGTCTTTGAGTTTAAACCATTAGTGTTATACATTTTCTGAAAGCTCTTTTCAAGGGCTACTCAATGGTAATATTAATATTTAGAAATACAGTAAAAAAAACAGAAATACACTACTGGACCATGAAATATCATATTTGAAAAAAGATCGTCACTTTCGCGCGTCTGTAACTCCCTTGTCTTTACCGTATTTCTAAATATTAATATTACCATTGAGTAGCCCTTGAAAAGAGCTTTCAGAAAATGTATAACACTTAATTTGTTGTTCATTGATGTCAAATAAAGATTTTAAAATAAAAGTTTGCTTTCTAGAGTTAATTTTGTTTATTTAGAAAGCTTTATATCTACCTAGAAAGCTTTCTATCTACCTAGGAAGCTTTATATCTACCTAGAAAGCTTTCTATCTACCGTAGTGTAGATAGAAATTCTATCTACCGTAGTGTATTTCTGTTTTTTTACCGTATTTCTAAATATTAATATTACCATTGTGTGGCCCTTGAAAAGAGCTTTCAGAAAATGTATAACACTAATGGTTTAAACTCGAAGACAAGAGAGTTACAGACGCGCGAAAGTGACGAGCTTTTTTCAAATATGATATTTCATTGTCCAGTAATGTAGCTTGAACTCACTGGCAAATCTTTGGTTGCACTTTGACTCCTTGGGCATCAAGCCATCCGGTGCGCACTTGGTGCATCTAAAATTTAATCTTTATACTATTTCTTGAAAGAATTATAGTAAGAAGAGGTTTTTTTAAACCTCAAATAGCTTTAAATAGATCGAAAATCTATTCTTTAAAATCTCAAAACTCAAACTGCTTACATCCCAGTAATGTGGCAAAACGTTGCTCATCGAGAATCCGTAAGCGCCGACGAAAGCCTGGTAACAGTTGTTGAGACCGGCGATGTCATTAGCTGTGCAAGAGTCGGCGGCGAGGGTGTACGAGACGAGGAGAGCTGCTGAAATACGCATCATTTAGACAACCTACAAATCACTATTCGAACTAGGGAAAGATGGCCTTTTTGATGTATTTGATAGAGTTTTGAGTGGGGATTCCGAATCCGCTTTTGGTTTTTCTAATGGAGCTCTGTATCGCAAGATATCTGGCATCAAAGTATGGGTCTTATTTTACGATCGAAAGCATGGTAGTAGCGCAGTTCCTGTTATATAGAGCTTTCTGTTTATAGAGCTTTTCGTTATAGAGAGCTTTCCGTTGTATAGAGCTTTCTGTTATATAGAGCTTTACGTTATATACTAGCTTTACGTTATATACACCATTATTATCTATGACATCCCTCCAACGTTGTTGGTGCAAATGAAATTTCGTTTTTTTACAAACATTAAAGTCATCCAAAATTTTTTTTGATAACAATTTATTTAAAACAATAAGCACCATTATTATCTATGACATCCCTCCAACGTTGCTACAGATTGCGGATCCCCTTCTCAAAGAACGCTTGATTCTGTGATGCAAAGTAGTTGGTCACCCAATTTTCGACTTCTTTTGCATTCTTAAACTGGCAATTCTCAAGGGAATGTTGCATCGATCTGAAAAGGTGAAAATCGGAGGGTGCTAAGTCTGGACTATACGGCGCATGTGGTAAGACCTTCCATCCTAGCTTCTCTAGTTCCTTACAAGAGGTTTTTGCCGTGTGAGCTGGAGCATTATCACGGAGAAAGTTGATAGTTGAGGGATTTAGGCCTTTTTCACGCAAAATTTCGTCAACCTTCTTGAGTTGTTGAATAAAATAAGATGAATCGACTGTTTTTCCGGGCTCTAATAATTCAAAATGTACAAGTCCATTGATATTCCACCAGCAAGACAACATCACTTTGCGCCCATGATAATCCGGCTTTGGAGTTGGAATTGGCGCTTGACCTTTGCTCAGCCATTGTCTTTTTCGAGAAGTATTATCAAAGTGAATCCACTTCTCATCCATCGTCAAGATATTCTCAAAAAAAATGGCTTCTTTTCGACTTCTGGAGCAAGATATGGCTGATCGGAACGCGTGCTCCCAGATTCTCAACACTCAATTGATGTGGAACCCATTGTCCATTACGATTTGTCTTTCCAATTATTTACAATTGTTGAATGATCACATTGAGATGTTTGGCAAGTTCTCGTGTTGTTTGCATTGGATCAGCTTCAATTAATTGTTCCAATTCATTGTTGTCGATGGCTGTGGCACGATGTCCATGCGATTCGTCTTCAAGGGATTCATTACCATCTCGGAATTGGGCAAACCAGAGCTGGCATGATCTTTCGGTGATAACCTGTTCTCCAAAGGCGGAACAGAGATCACGATGTGAATCAGCAGCGTTTTTGCCCATTTTGAAGTCATAGAGAAGACACGTGCGCAGAACATACTTTTGATCCACCATGATCTAAAGCAAAAATCAATTAAAAAGTGAAAGCTCTGACTTTGAAAAAATGCGAAAATAAAGTAAATATCCAAGAGTACAAATGCACAAAAGAACATCAAATAAGCTCTTCAGATTAAAAAAATAAGAACATTTTATATCGACCGAAATTTCTTTTGCACCAACCTAATAGAGCTTTTTGTTATATGGATAGTGCGAGCGCTCACGAGCTTTTTTGCGCGAGTTCGAATCCCCTCTATATTAATCCTTTTTGTTTTTTTTAGTAAATGATGAAAAAGTAAGCAGCTAAGAACAGTTCTACTACATTTATACGATAAGCGTCTTTACAGGAATCTGGTTTAAAATGGCTTTTAACGGTCGGCTTCTAAAAGCTAAAGAAGCTATCGTAATCTGAAAGCTACCGTATCTCTTTTAAGTTTATCATTTTCTTCATGAGCTTTGGATTACGGTAGATTTCTAGCTAGATTACGGTCGATTTTTAGCTAGATTACGATAGCTTTTCAGATGGACACATTTTCGAACAGCGAAATACGATACTGGGCTTTTGATGTGATAATCCAAGAATAAATACTAATTTAAACCAATATAAATATAGCTCACAAGTAAAAAACAAATAATAAATAAATAATAAATCCTAATTTTTCAAAACTACAGTAATCTTGAGCAACGAACAAACCGGATAGGATGACTTTGAACATTTTTTGCTTTCTGTGTGCTGATTTTGAGGCGAAATCAAAAATGGAGAAATTCTCTGACCTCCAGCCCGAGTATTTATGAGTGTGATAATCAAGAAATCCCTCTTATCTCCACACTTTTCCCCAGATTCACTTTCCAGATGACGCCGAATGGAAGCAATGGAAGCAATGTGAGCAAAATTGGGGATTAATCCCCGATTTTGGATTGGAAACCCTTCAAAAAGATAAGAACCCGCACCCTCAACACTTTCTCCACAAAATTTGAGGTGAAAGTGAAAAAGTGAAATGAGGGAAAATTTTGCTTATGACATTTTACAAGATTCACAATTTCAGCCGTCTTTCACCGCTTACCACGTTGAAAAGATGGCATCTCGTCTGCTCTGCCAAGTTAAGCTCGGTTATTGCTGGGCTCGGTTATTATTTGGGCTCGGTTATTATTTGGATCGGAGACGATTTGGGAATCCGAAGTGTTTGAATTGCTTTTGCCAATGAGCTCAACTGATTGGAAATCTACTTTTGCACAAAGTAATGAATTACTTTTCGAATTTTCAGCTGAATTTCTTTATTATCGGAGTACAGTATCAGCTTCATAGGTAAATCTGTAAAATAGAGGAATTCTTTCGGCTGAGGCTTTTGGATTTTCCAAGAAGGAATTCTCCTCAAAATTTCTTGAAACATGCAAGGCGTTTAGGTTGATACTAACCTCAAACTTGGGTAATTAAACCAACTTTGCGGCCGCTTTCTCACTCATATCTATCTGCCCTGTGCGTCAGATGGCGAGCGATTGTGCACTCGCCCAAAGTTAACTATTGCTTCACAAAGCATACCGTAAATACTGTAATAGTACCCCACCGCCCTCGTTCAGTCGCGTAGTCGCAAAAGTTTTTCAGTATTTCATTTTTTTCAAAGCGCCCGTACTTTCAAAAAATGCGTCTTTGGTATCAAAAAATAGCCCTGAATTTCAGCTATTTTTTGATACCTAAGCGAGCATTGTAGCATAAACCAGTGACGAGAAAAACTCATTCAAAGCTAGACTACGCAACACTCCGCACCGTCATTATGGGGGTGGGGTACTATTGCAGTCTTTACGGTAGTTCATTTCCACAGTTTTAATTTGATTTTATACACTAAGTTTCTAGTAGTTAACTTCTCGATCTTTTTATATATGGAATGTCGCAGTGCTTCTGATCTAGTTTTAACACATTGACGCACTGCGCATCATAAAGCTACCGTAAATTCGTCTTTGGTATCAAAAAATAGCCCTGAATTTCAGCTATTTTTTGATACCTAAGCGCGCATTGTAGCATAAACCAGTGTCGAGGAAAACTCGTTCAAAGCTAGATTACGCAACACTTCGCTCGCTTCGTCATTATCGCTCGAGAGAAGCCTTTTAAGCGAGATGTCGCAAACTTCTATGCCAGATATCGGGCGGGCGTATGGGCAGCTGATTTTTGCACCATTTTGATCAGCCTAGACAATTCTACAACTTCTATTTTGGCATTGGGTAATCGGCCAATTGTAGCATAAACCAGTGTCGAGAAAAACTCGTTCAAAGCTAGACTACGCAACACTCCACACCGTCATTACGGGGCTGGGGTACTATTACAGTATTTACGGTAAGCATTTTCAAGATTAACTGATCAAAAATCATAAATTCTAACAAGATAAATCTGGCTTTTTTCAAAAAAATACTTTATTTTCTTGAACTTATCGTTATTTTGATGAGAAAACGTCAGAAAAACTGATTTACATTTTCGTTTGGCTAAGGGGAAAAAAGGAAATGTGATTTTCGCGGAGTGAGCCGAAAATGAGTGATTTTTGGCATCAAACTTTGCGAAAATTTCTCGGAAATTTGAGAAATTCAAATTTATGGATTTATTTGAAGATCCCCTAGGTCTCATCCGTTTTACTTATTTCACTACGAGTGAGTGATTAGGGTCGAAAATTTTCTCATAAAGTCTAGGTTTCTGTTCGATTAACAATCTTTTCTTTATTATCATTATTATTCTGAAAGCTCCACGGGAAATGAGAATACAATCGAGATATATTGCCTTCACACATGTGAGTTCTGAATGTAGAAATGTATATATTTCATTATAAATAGGGAACTGACAAATTTAGGATAATTGTAGAGTCTTTCTTCTCTTTCTTCTCTTTCTCCTCTTTCTCCTCTTTCTCCTCTTTCTCGTTCTTTCCTTTCTCTTTCTTCTCCTTCTCTCTCTCTCTTCTCTTTCTCTTTCTCTCTTCTCTTTCTCTTTCTGCTCCTTCTCTCTCTCTCTCTTTTTATCTTTCTTCTCCTTCTCTCTCTCTTTCTCTTTCTTAGTGGATGGTGCAAGTGTAGCTGAAAATTAGTGCCAAATTGACGAACGATATTACTTAGTGAAACTCGTTACCAGTTCATTTAGGATCAGTATTAGATTCTTGTAGACCAGTTCAAGAATACTTTAACCAAAGCCTAGTCAGAAAGCATAATCAAACCAAACCAGAAACCTTATGATGTGTGGCTGGCTTTTGACCATAGTAATAACGATTGGTAAAGATAGATTTTCGGAGAGGGATTGGACTCTCGATCTTCGACTGATTTCCAGGCAGATGCTTTAACCACTGAGCTATCTGTTATCTTCTTGCCAGAAAAGAAAGAGGAAATACAAGGGGAAGAGAAAGGAAGAAAGAGATGAAAGCCAGATTAGGTTGGCAAGGTCTTTGGCTTCTGGATTTCACTTCTGGCCTAGTCTTACTTGAGTTTGAAACAGCTCAGATCTAGTAGAAGCGGGATTGATCTATTGTATGTCCATTTATCAATTGTACCTTGAAATCTGAGTCTTATCTTCTATCGATATCTTCTATCTTCTACAAGCTTTAGTTTGGTGCTACTTTTCTTGATCTAAATTTCGGTTT